GCGGCAACGGAAGTGGGGGAAAATGGATAGGGTCGCATGCTTTAGGTCCGACTGGGAGATTTTGGTAACACTCGGGTGGAGGGAGATGGCGTTGCGGAGCAGCAGCACGTTGGCTGCAAGAGAAGGAAGCAGCACATACGGAATACGGGCAGAATACGGGCAGAATACGGGCAGAATACGGGCAGAATACGGGCAGAATACGGGCAGAATACGGGCAGAATACGGGCAGAATACGGGCAGAATACGGGCAGAATACGGGCAGAATACGGGCAGAATACGGGCAGAATACGGGCAGAATACGGGCAGAATACGGGCAGAATACGGGCAGAATACGGGCAGAATACGGGCAGAATACGGGCAGAATACGGGCAGAATACGGGCAGAATACGGGCAGAATACGGGCAGAATACGGGCAGAATACGGGCAGAATACGGGCAGAATACGGGCAGAATACGGGCAGAATACGGGCAGAATACGGGCAGAATACGGGCAGAATACGGGCAGAATACGGGCAGAATACGGGCAGAATACGGGCAGAATACGGGCAGAATACGGGCAGAATACGGGCAGAATACGGGCAGAATACGGGCAGAATACGGGCAGAATACGGGCAGAATACGGGCAGAATACGGGCAGAATACGGGCAGAATACGGGCAGAATACGGGCAGAATACGGGCAGAATACGGGCAGAATACGGGCAGAATACGGGCGGAATACGGGCGGAATACGGGCGGAATACGGGCGGAATACGGGCGGAATACGGGCGGAATACGGGCGGAATACGGGCGGAATACGGGCGGAATACGGGCGGAATACGGGCGGAATACGGGCGGAATACGGGCGGAATACGGGCGGAATACGGGCGGAATACGGGCGGAATACGGGCGGAATACGGGCGGAATACGGGCGGAATACGGGCGGAATACGGGCGGAATACGGGCAGGAATACGGGCGGAATACGGGCGGAATACGGGCGGAATACGGGCAGAATACGGGCGGAATACGGGCGGAATACGGGCGGAATACGGGCAGAATACGGGCGGAATACGGGCGGAATACGGGCGGAATACGGGCAGAATACGGGCGGAATACGGGCGGAATACGGGCAGAATACGGGCGGAATACGGGCAGAATACGGGCGGAATACGGCGGAATACGGGCAGAATACGGGCGGAATACGGGCGGAATACGGGGGAATACGGGCAGAATACGGGCGGAATACGGGCGGAATACGGGCGGAATACGGGCGGAATACGGGCGGAATACGGGCAGAATACGGGCGGAATACGGGCAGAATACGGGCGGAATACGGGCAGAATACGGGCGGAATACGGGCGGAATACGGGCGGAATACGGGCAGAATACGGGCGGAATACGGGCGGAATACGGGCGGAATACGGGCAGAATACGGGCGGAATACGGGCAGAATACGGGCGGAATACGGGCGGAATACGGGCAGAATACGGGCGGAATACGGGCGGAATACGGGCGGAATACGGGCAGAATACGGGCGGAATACGGGCGGAATACGGGCGGAATACGGGCGGAATACGGGCAGAATACGGGCAGAATACGGGCGGAATACGGGCAGAATACGGGCGGAATACGGGCAGAATACGGGCGGAATACGGAAACAAGGACATTTGCGTTATGAGGTAGCACCACAGACGGGGATGAAATGAGGTTTGCTTGAAAACAGACGGGAATGAAAGGAGGTTTGCTTGAAAACAGACGGGAATGAAATGAGGTTTGCTTGAAAACAGACGGGAATGAAACGAGGTTTGCTTGAAAACAGACGGGAATGAAATGAGGTTTGCTTGAAAACAGACGAGTATGCTTGCCACTGTCAACGAGGATGAGGGGAGGAAAAAAGGGGGGAGACGGGAGGAGGCAACTTTTGAGTTGACTCAAAGTCAGCTTTTGAGTCACGGGTAAGGTCAGCTCGGGGAAGTGCTTGCCACTGTCAAGTGCTTGCCACTGTCAACGAGGATGAGGGGAGGAAAAAAAGGAGGGGAAGGGAAGGATGTATAGCAGGGGTGAATCGCTGTTGTCGTTTTCCCTCAGGAACGACTCACAGGCCTTTGGATTAGGGACAGAGAGGAGAGAACAGGGGTGGGGTGGAGTGGTGGTGGTTGTGGTTGGTCCATTCTAAACGGCTTACCGATGCCGCGGAGGGGGCATGTTTTGAGTCGGCTCAGAACATGGTTGTTTGTGGTTGGTCAGTTCTAAACGGCTGTGGAGTGGTGGTGGTTGTGGTTGGTCCGTTCTAAACGGCTTACCGATGCCGAGAAGGGGGCAGGGCCCATTGTCGTTTTGCATGACGATGGGCACCTGCTGCCACTCCAGGAACGACTCACAGGTCTTTCAGTCAAAGACAAGGGGGGAGATAGGGGTTGGAGTGGCGGAGGTTTGAAAAGCGGGAAGATTGTGAAATGCTCACATCAGTTCCCCCCATCAGTTTCCCCCATCAGTTCCCCCCATCAGTTCCAACCATCAGTTTCCCCCATCAGTTTCCCCCATCAGTTTCCCCCATCAGTTTCCCCCATCAGTTCCCCCCATCAGTTCCCCCCATCAGTTCCCCCCATCAGTTTACCCCATCAGTTTCCCCCATCAGTTTCCCCCATCAGTTTCCCCCATCAGTTCCCCCCATCAGTTCCCCCCATCAGTTTACCCCATCAGTTCCCCCCATCAGTTTACCCCATCAGTTTCCCCCATCAGTTTCCCCCATCAGTTTCCCCCATCAGTTCCCAACATCAGTTTACCCCATCAGTTTACCCCATCAGTTCCCCCCATCAGTTTACCCCATCAGTTTCCCCATCAGTTTCTCCCATCAGTTTCCAGGAACGACCTACAGGTTTTTGAATGAGGGGAAGGTGGAGATAAGGGGTGGAGTAGCGTGTTTGTGAAGGGGTAGATTGTGAAATGCTTACCAATGCCAAGGAGGGGGCAGGGCCCGTTGTCGTTTTGCATGACGATTGGCACCTGCTGCCGCCCCAGGAACGACACGCGTTTTATCTTGTACCAGCTCTCCGCCACCTCCCCTCCCCTCATCTGCCCCTGCCCCTGATCCCCACCCGATTGCGTCTTTTTTCCTCCTCCCCCCTCCTCTCCGCCCCGCTCCGCCTCCCCACGCCCCTGACTCTGCTCCTCATACTGACCCTGCCCTCCTCCCTCTGCCTCCGCCAACGGCGGCGCAGCCGGCGCTGGAGGACTAGCAGACGGCGCTGGGGGAGTGGCGGAAGGATCTGAGAGAGTGGCGGAAGGATCTGGGGGAGTGGCGGAAGGAGCTGGAGGAGTCGCGGAAGGTGCTGGGGGAGTGGCGGAAGGCGCTGACGGAGTGGTGGAAGCATCTGGGGGAGTGGCGGAAGCCGCTGGGGAAGAGGCGGAAGGATCTGGAGGAGTGGCGGAAGGCGCTGCTGGATTGGCGGAAGGATCTGGGGGAGAGGCGGGAAAATCTGGGGGAGTGGCGGTTCCAGCGGAGGACTGATGCGCTGTCATGGTCTCATGGGACGTCTCAACCGTCGCCACTGGGGGAGTGGCATCTGCAGCGGAGGATTGATGTGTAGCCATGGCCTCTGTGTTTCCGCAATGAACGGCTACAAACTCACGGTGAAGCTAGACCTTCGGGTTGTGAGGCGTCTCAATACCAAGCCGATGTGTGAGCCTACACCGAGAAGTGAGGCTACAGAAGACACAGGGAGGTCGCAACTGGTGACGATATTCGCAACAAATGGTAACCAGACGACTACAAACGGCAGGTTCCAGAGATCTCCTGATTCCGATCCGTACGATCATCAATCGGACGGTTTCGGGAGAGACGAAGCGACTCGCCAGCACCACCGCTGCTCATGCTTGCTGGTATGCAGCCATGACTGCCTGGACTATCAGTCAACTTGTAAATTTATCTTTAGTGCTTCTATACCAGGACTAAGATATCAAGGAGGAGTGCTTGCTGGAATGCGAGGAAGGAACGCGCAGCCGACGCTACACATGGACTGGAGTATGAGGTTCAACGGACAGCCTGACGGAATTCCCCAGGTTGAACGGACGGAAAGCTTGAAATTGAATCTCCAGCATTGGGAAGGGAATATCCAAGCTGAAACGTAGCCATCAAATTCCAGTCCTCCCAGTCACGGAACAATCTAGGAAGCCAATTACACTTGAGGATCCTAAACCAGAGAAACCGAACCCGACACGTTTTGAACCGATCGGAACAGACTTCACATCCCTTTGATGCGACAGGCACATTTCTCATCATCACGGGTATGATCGCCCCCCCACCCACGGAGGTTTTCCGTACGGTGACCATACCATCTGCCGCTATGCCCCAAAGTTCGTTTGAATGCGGCTCATTGAGATAATTAAATTTTTACAACGGTCAAACTATGTTAAGAACGGTCAAAATGGGTGCTGAGAAAAAATGAAATGAAAATTACCTGCCCTTATGCACCTTCTACAATTCCCCGTGCCAAACCTTTTGGAACCGAGCATTTTCGGAAAGCTACTCCCTGATGGCTTCCTAGTCATCTGGACAGAGCCTCAGTGCGTAACGTAAAACCGCACCTGCTTCTAGCGAGCTTTAGCCGTCAGCGCAAAATTTCCTTGCAGCCTAAGTCTAACCCTATGTTTCGTAATCGCACCCTTTTCGTCTAAACTGGCATCAGCACGCGTGGGCTTGCCCTAGTTGCGTAATTTCGAGCGACGGCGGCATCATTTTGTCTGCAGCGATGATGACATACGAGGCAAGCCGATTCGTCTCATTTGGCTCTGGTTTCGTTCCGCGTTGCTGTCCCTCCTTCAGATTGCTGTCCTTCCGTCAGATTGCTTTCCTTCCGTCAGGTTGCTGTAGCTCCGTCAGGTTGTTTTCCGTCCGGTTGCTGTGTGACAGTGTAGGTGTGTCCCTTTCGTGTCATGTATGCATGCACCATGGCGGGAGGAGCAGCGCAAGGGGGCGATAGTGGAGGCACTCACGCATTTGGCGGTGCTCCTAGCCAATGCTGTGATCCTCTTGTGCTGCTTGCGGTGTGCTGCTTGCGGTGTGCTGCTCATGCTGTCCTTTCTTTCTTGCCATGCACTTGTGACATGCTCGTATGGCAGGAGGAGCAGCGCAAGGGGGCGATAGTGGAGGCACTCACGCATTTGTCGGTGCTCTCGGCCAATGCTGTGCTCCCCTTGTGCTGCTTGCGGTGTGCTGCTTGCGGTGTGCTGCTTGCGGTGTGTCATTCTTGCTATGCACTTGGCATGGCAGGAGGAGCAACGCAAGGGGGCGATAGTGGAGGCACTGCCGCTCACGTTATGCTCCTCATGCTGTTCTTTCTTTCTTGCTATGCACTTGCTATGACTATGCTCGTATGGCAGGAGGAGCAGCGCAAGGGGGCGATAGTGGAGGCACTCACACACACCTTGTTGTGGGCCAATGCTTTGCTCAGACTGTGCTGCTCACGTTGTGCTTCTCATGCTGTTCTTTCTTTCTTGCTATGACTACGTGGCAGGAGGAGCAGCGCAAGGGGGCGATAGTGGAGGCACTCACGCACTTCTCGGTGCTCTCAGCCAATGCCATGGCGACAGGTGTCACCACCACGCGCATGCGCCTGCAGCTCATGAAAGTGCGTGTGCGCCCTTGAACCTGCGTTCTCGTTGCATTCTGCATTCGTTGCATCATTATCACACCCCTGAGGACTGTGTATTAGTCAAATGTCTGCCGGCGTTATCGGCATACCCTGCCTGCGCTATTGTCACATCCCTGCCCAGTGCTATTGTCACATCCCTGCCCAGTGCTATTGTCACATCCCTGCCCAGTGCTATTGTCGCCACATGCACCTGCAGCTCATGAAAGTGTGTGTGCACCCTTAAACCTGCGTTCTCGTTGCATTCTGTGCCTGCGTTCTTGTCACATCCTCACTGTGTTAGTGTTACATCTCTGCCTGTGTTATTGTCACTGCGCTGCCTGCTTTACTATCACATCCTGCCTGCATCGTTGTCACACCTCTGCCTGCCTGCGTTATTGTCACATCTTGCCTGCATCGTTATCACACCCCTGCCTGCCTGCGTTAATGTCACATCCTGCCTGCATCATTATCACACCCCTGCCTGCCTGCGTTATTGTCACAGCCCTGGCGTCCTGATGACCTCGTTATGTCCACATTAGAGACTCCTCAAAAGTCATTCGCACTCCATGGCTGCCATATTGTCTCCATCTCCCTTGTTCTCTCTCTCCTCGCCTCTCTCCCCATCGCCCCCTCCTCTCCACGTCCCTCCCTCTCCCGTCCCTGTCCTGCCTACCCACCATCAGCAATACAAAGAAACGCCCCACTTGAGGTCAACAGAGGAGGATGTGAACCCATCAGTGCCTCTTTCCCACCTCTTCCCACCTCTTCCCACCTCTTCCCACCTCTTCCCACCTCTTCCCACCTCTTCCCACCTCTTCCCCCTCGGCTCCTCCCTCCCCCGCCCCCTCGTCTCTCTCCCCACCACCAGAAATATTCACAAGTGCAGGATGTGAACCCATCAGAACCGCCCACAATCCATCCCGACCTACTCCATTACATTGTCACACACGACCCCCGCCTCTCCCCCTCCCCCTCCACCCGCCCCTCCACCTCCTCCCCCCCCAACGCCTCCTCCCCCCCCAACGCCTCCTCCCCGCCCCTCTCCCCCTCCTCCTCCGCCTCCCCCCCCAACACTCCCCCACCTCACTCCCTCACTCACTCTCGCTCGCTGGCGGATGGGCGGACAAGGGGGAGGATGGGGGGAGAGGAGGGAGAAGTAGAAGAGGAGGGACGAAGGGAAGAGGAGGGAGGAGGGGAGCGGGAGGAGGGCACAGACGGAGGAGGGGGAGGGGAGGGGGGTGTTGAGGAGGGTTTATCAGTGGGATCGGATATGGAAATAGATGGGATGGTAGTGGAGGAGGGAGATGGGGAGGGTGGAAGGTTGGGAAGGGAGGACGAAGATGATGAGGAAGAGGAGGCGATGGGGTGGGGTGGTACAATCAGGCGATCACCGTCAAACCCTCTCCTTTGAAGTTTCCGCAAGCAGTCTTACACGGGGTGGGGTTACGGGGAGGAAGAGGAGGAGGACGACGAAGAGGGGATGGGGTGGGGAGGTACAATCAGGCGATCACGATCGAACCCTCTCCTTTAAAGTTCTTTCTTCTCCTAGCTTCCTCTTCTGTGCTCTTACAGCGAAGGGCCTGCACCTACTCGTACATCAGGCGATGGGGTGGGGCGGTACAATCAGGCGATCGAGGTCAAACCCGCTCCCTTGAAGTCCAACTTTCTTCCCTTCAGGCCTCTAGTTTTGAGGTACCTCGAGAATAAGAGGAAGAGAAGGGGATGGGGTCGGATGGTACGGTACCATCAGGCGACGCGATCAAGGCCAGGTGAGGTGATCAAGGCTACTTTTGAGGCGCCTCAAAAGCCGGATGGTACCACCAGGCGAGGCGATCAAGGCCAGGCCCACTCTTCAAACAACATCTTTCTCATTATGTTTGCTCTTCCCCATGAGTGAGGAGGACCCCTAGGGCGGGGCTCATTTCGTTTTAGATCAGGAGAGGAGATCACGGACGGGTAAACTTGCCTCTTTGAGTTTCTTTCGACCACCGCTTGTAGTTGGAAACTGCCCTCTTCTTCAGTCTTGTAACAATGGGTCTACACCTGCATCTTCTTTAGCTTAGCTGCTGTTAAGGACGTTTGCTTTGCGCAGAGCAAAAGGATGAGCATCCAAACCGCCTGACCCGGTACTAGATTCAGAACAAAAATAATTTATGCAGCACATACGGTACCCGCAAGGCAAGAGCGCCCGCCCCTTAACTCTTTTGACTTATGCTGTAACCCTCAGGTCAGGATTGCATGTGACGCTGATAGCTGCTGCATCTCACATGGCAATATGAAAAAAGGTTTACAAAACACTACATACAAACAGGATACACAACTTAAATATACCGTATGGCCCCGGATATAGGCGCCGTCCGATTAAAGGCGCCGGCGCCTCTATCTGGAGCATGGCGCTTATGGCCGGAACTCGATTATAAGCGCACCCCCTGAAAATTCTATCCTTATTATAAGCGCATCCCTTAACCTTTCATTGGAGGCATTACAAAAGAATTTACTAAATTGTCACTTTTTCTAAGCAACATCAAATTAAGCTAGATCTCCTAACAAGTTTAGCCGGGGTAATTCTACCTACGGTAACATGGATCATACAGTAACCCTCCTACTCCTCCTCGTCGGATTCGGGCTCCTGGCAGTTGTTGCCAAAAAAACCATCAGCGATGATGTCATCGTCGACATCCACTTCAGCTGTCAGCTGGCTCCGCCTGTGCGCCATGGCGAGTCCGTCCTCACTGCCGTCAAGCTGGTTGCTGATGCCACAGGTGAGGAAGGCATGCTTGATGAGGTCGGCGGGCAATGCCTTCCAGGCTTGTGATACCCACCGCAGGACGACCTCTGGCGAAGGCTTCTTCAGGTTCCCTGAAACATTACGGGAGAACGGTGGAAAGCAGTTAGTGCAACAACAAAGAATTCGGGGGGGGGGGGGAGGAATACTGTACTCATGCCATACCTGCTGCCGTCAGCTGCTCTTGCCCCTCTGCCTCAAACCACCTCTGGTACTGCTGGCGGACCGACGCCTTAAAGCTCTTGTTGATGCAGACATCGAGCGGCTGTACCTCCGCCGTACAGCCCGACGGGATGATCGCCGGCACGCAGTTCATCTCGCGGAGCTTCTCCTTCACCTCCTCGTTGAGGTGACCGCGGTAAGAATCCAGCACCAGCATCGAGCTCTTGGCGTGTCTGCCGAACCGAGGCTTCAGGAACGGCTTCACGCACTCCTCAAGCCAGCGAACGACGCCAGGGGAGTCCATCCACCCGTTCTCGTGGCAAGCCACGGCCACATCTGCATGAAACACGCACGGGTGGTTAGAATTCGAACTCTGAAAAGAACGCAGTGACCGAGCCGTGCACCTCTTTACATACCGGCAGGGAAATCGCCATTCGGCAAGGTTTTGCGCTTGAAGAACACCCACGGCTTCAGCTTCCTTCCGTCCGCCGTGCACGCCAACATCACGGTCACTCTCTGCTTCTGATACCCCGCGCTCCTGATAGGCACCGAGCGAACACCCGTTTCCTCTACGGTGGTGGTGGCGGGCATCTCCAGCCAGAGCGGCGTCTGGTCCGCGTTGATGATCCACGCGGTGTCGATGCCGCACTCACGACGCTTGGCACGCACGAACTGCCAGAAGCTCTTGCACTGATCAGAGACATCTGCACGGCGGTGGAAGAGACGTCGGAGACAGACGGAGGGCGTTAGTACAATTAAAGAAAATCAACGTGCCAAATTGAACGGGGTAATTCTCACGCGCTGCGGTTTTCTGGGCAACCCGGGTCTTCATGCGGACGCTCAGATTCCATCGCCGCCGAAAGCGCTCCGACCACCTCTGGCTTCCTTTCCACTTCTTGTCCGGGTACAGAAACTTCATGAACTCCCGCGACCACTCCTGCAAGCGGCCGACTGACACGGCGGTTCCCTTGCGGCGCCACTCGAGTAGCTTCTCGTACACCTTCAACTCCATCGGCCGGTACCACGACGCTCGCCCGCGGCCGTGCATGCGCTTCCGAGAGGAGTGAACATCCTTGAGGAATTCCGCCGCCCGCTTCCAGTTGGTGAGACACTTCCGGTGGATTCCGCTCTCGCGAGCCAAGGCGCGCACCGACACCGCCAAGTCCATCAGAGCAACCCACTTCAACTTCTCCGCGGCGGTGTAACATTGCCGCTTGTGGTCGGTGAGCTTGTGCCTGGGAGAGGGGGGGCGGGCATCATGGTTCTGTGAAGAGGGGTGGGGTCGCTTGCGATTATTCGGAGGATAGGTTGGTATGGGCAGTTTCTCGGGTAGCCCATCGCGTGACCAGTACTCAACGCCGTCGTCGTCAGCGTCGCCCGTAACACCTTCTGGAAACACATCGTCAGCGGTGCCGCCCTGGGCGCCGCCCCCGGCGGAAGCCTCCGTGCCACCCTCGGCGCCGTCAGCGCCGCTCGCTTCCTCTGCGTCAGCAACATCATCGTCGGCGCGGACCGCATATTCGTCCCAAGGGCAATCGTCGGGCTGTCCCCAACGTCGTCCAGGAAAGTGTTCCACATCCACGTACTCATCTTGCGCCTTGTTAGACTCCGGTTCGGAGAGGTATTCGTCGAACGCCGATGGGAGCAGTATCGTGAGCACGGGCTGATTGCCAGTGAGTTGCGGAGACACAGGACCCAGAGGCGGAGGAGCAGGAGGAACAGGGGGCGCAGGAGGTGCAGGAGGCGAAGGAGGAGCAGGAGGCGCAGGAGGCGCAGGAGGCCGTGGTGGCTCTGGTGGTTCTGGTGGGATACGGGAGTACCACCCGTCAGCGTCTACTCTAAACGCGGGCCTTCGCGTAGGCTTTTTCTTGAACAAGAAGTGGGTGCCACTGAATTCCGCCATGGCGGCGGCAGCCAGGCGAGAACTACCAAGAACCCGAACGAGAAACTGGGAGAGATGGAGAACAAATGAGAGATTCAAAGGGACCCCTTCTGGTTAGCGCCTCGGGGTCCTTGTCGGGGAGAGACGGGTACCCCCTGTCTGAACCCGGAGAGGAGGTTATCGCGGCACGAAGATGCTGCGCTGGCAGGGCATTCCAGCCCCTTCTCGATGGTTCGGGTGAAATGCAGCTGCCTGCCAGCGCATGAAAGCCTGATTGGGCCGCAAGGCAACTTTCACGTCAGCGCTGGCAGGTGCGCTGCTCCTGGACGGGATTTGTGCGGTCGGGAATCGAAGCGCAGCAGTTTTCGGCGGGATTACATGCATTATCCCACGCGCACGTTACTCAATTGTGTTCGCCTTATTGCGGGCTTCGATTTGGTACATAAAAATAACAAATTCATTTTTGCCATGATATAAGCGCCGGCGCTTATGGCCGTTATTCAATTACAAGCGCCACCCCTAAAAAAAAATGATTTTATTATAGGCGCATATGCGCCTATATCCGGGGTAATACGGTATCAGAACTTGTACATAGCAGAAACTAGCGGGCCTGCTGCTGGCCAATCAAATGCAGCCGTGCGTCAGCGAGACCAGGAACACAAAGAGTTGTTTCTGTACAGAAAGTGCAGCAAGGGTTAAGGAATAAAACGATTCGACTGCAGCAGTCACATCACATGCTACCAACACATGCAGCCACAGCACATGCAGCAGTCACATCACATGCAGCAGTCACATCACATGCAGCAGCCCCAGCACATGCAGCAGTCACATCACATGCAATCACATCACATGCAGTAGTCACATCACATCACATGCAATCACATCACATGCAGTAGTCACATCACTTGGAGTCAAGTCACATACAGTCACATCACCTGCAGTCACATCACATACAGCCAAGCCAACCACCTGCCAGACCAGGCAGCTTAGCAGTCAAATGGGAGGAGAACGAGGAGTAAATGGGCGGGGACCAATGAGGGATAGGTGGGTGAAAGTTGAGGGGAGGGCCAAAGGGGATGAGGGGTGGATAGGTTGTGAGGAGGGGGTTGAGGGGATGAGGGGTGATGGGGGGGGGGGGGAGGAAGGGGGTGGGGGGGGAAAGGGAAGAGGAGGGAGATGAGGGGTGGATGGGGAGGGAAACGAGGCGTGAGCAGGGACGAAGTTGAGGTAAGGGTGGGCGGGGGAGATGAGGAGTGAGTCGGAAAAGGGGGAAGAGGGGAGGCGGGGAAGAGAGGGGGAACGAGGGTGAGTGGAGGGGAGATGAGGGTGGGGGGTGGATAGGGAGGGAGAGGAGGCGTGAGGGGAAAAAGTTGCGGTATGGTGGGGGGAGGGGATGACGGGTGAGTCGGAAAAGGGGGAAGCGGGGAGGCGGGGGAGAGAGGAGGAACGAGGGTGAGTGGGGGGAGATGAGGGTGGGCGCCTCAAAAGGAAGAGAACAAGAGAGCGCGGCAGTGATAAGAAGGGGGAGCTGTTGGGGGTGGGGAGAGAGAGGGGAATGAAGGGAAAGAGGACAAAAAGAGGGGAGAGCGGGGAACATGAGGGGAGGGCGGGGAGGATGAGCGGAGAGCGGGGAAGATGAGGGCAGAGGGGGGAATATGAGAGAGTTAGGAAGCTGAAAACTGTGTGACGTTTCTAGGATAGGTCACGGGTTGAAAAGGGAGAGAAGAAGAAGCGGGAAAGAAGCGGCGAGATGGGGAGGGGAAAGGGGAGAATAAGGGGAAAATGGCGGTTTCACCTGTTACATTTCGCGGATCCACTCCGCTCTCGAATAAAGCTATCACCGTCGATTCCCCCTTTCCTCCCCCCACTCACCTCCCGCGCTCCTTATTTCCGTCTTGCGTCCGGCTACCGTCGTCGCGCTCTCTAACGAAGATTCGCGATACGTTACTAATGCGTTTCGAAGCGACGCGACTAATTCGTCCGCGGACGAACGTCACTATTCCTTCCGCAGTTCGTGAGTAATAAAAACGCAGATCTGGAGGCGAGCAACCGAACGCGGTGGGGCGACTAACTGCAATGTCTGGTATCCAGATCTGATTCTGCTAGCACGCTACCAAACGCGTGAAGCGACGAACACTAATGTCGAACGCGGTGTGCCGACTAACGGCAATGTCTGGTAACCTTAGAATGTTAAAACTCGCTGCCATAACAAGAAGATGCCCTTACGCTCCACGTCGACTACTGCGCTAAGATCTGGTGAACAAGAAACAGCTATCTAATTACATGAGAGGCAAAACTACCACTGAATGAATGTCACGCCCTCACGATATTACATCTGGTCTGGACATAGAGATGGGTGAGGGGATTAGGTGTGGTAGGTTCGGCAACTCGAGGTTCGGATTGTTGATAATGGCGTGGTGGGTGTGCCATGGTGGCAAAAACACCATTTTTATTGGCTCACATGAATCTGTTTCATCCAACCATTGGTTTTCCAGCTGCCCGACTCAGGTTTAGCGAGTCAGCTGAACTTTTCCGCGCCACTCACGAATCCCATAACTAAACCAAAGCCGTCCCGCACCTCACGCAAAATTCACACAGCTTGGCTGAAAAAAACTCATGTCCCAACTAAATATACCGCCACGTCAACCACCTCCTAGAAGTTCGAGCCTGCCCTTGCTGTTGCACATCAGCACGCCCACAAATCCTTCCCAGCCCGAAATAGGCGTCCTTGGCAAACGCGTTTGTATACGAGTAAGTCAAACCAATTTGCAATTTCAAACCAGAATGTGTAGATTGAATATACTGTACAATCTGGGGTGGCCTGGTTGGATAAGGTGGGCCCACCTCAAAATGTTCTCCACGCGCCGCTCGACGAATGTCCCCAGCCACAACCTCGGCGCGACATTTCTTTGGTTCATGACAGTTTCCACACCTCTTCACCGTTTCGGTCTGCTGCACCACCACCATCCATCCATTCACATCACACTGCACTTAATCGCACCGCGCGGCCAGCCTGGGTGTCAGGATCGAGGAATTCCCTCCCACACAGTTTAGAGCACAAGAGCGTCGCGCTCCGTCCCACCGCACTGCACCTAGGTAGATGCTGTTTTTTTTTATCACTCCAACCTGCATTCACCTATCACTTTTGGGTTGAAGAGGCGCTAAGACGTACCGCGACCACCGCCGTTCAGAATGGCTGCGCTGAATTCCTTCATCCACTGATCAGCAGCACGCTTTTGCTTCTGCTTCAGCAGCTACCTTCCGCTTGCACCTCTCTCAAGCATCGCATCCGCTCCATATAATCTAGCGATGTTGCGTTTGTATCGTTCTTTTCCTTCCTTCTCAAACTCACGAAAGGATTTTCAAAGAGCTCCAATTCAATGAGCTCCTGAAGCTACCTGAAGTACACGGGGAAGTCCGAAGCACGAGGCGGCGTTGAGTTAGATTAGGGGTGGGGTGGGTTGGGTAGGTGTCGTGAGGAGTGAGCTGCCAAGTGTTTCGGGCTGAACCGTGTGCTGACGGATTTTCGTGGCAACATATCACCGCGACAAGATAATGATCTGCACTGCAAGATCTACGTTCCGCAAGATCATCTCTGCAAGCGCAGAAAGAGCTTCAAGCGGAAAGAGCTTCAGGCTGGTGGTGCGACATCCAGTCACCGCTGGTGGTGCGACATCCCCGTCACCGCTGGTGGTGCGACATCCCCGTCACCGCTGGTGGTGCTACATCCCCGTCACCACTCAAGATGCTGGTGCTGCGAGTTCTTCGCAGCAATGTCTCCGCTCTTCAAGAGCCTCGGGAGCTTCGAAGTTTCCCATGAGATCCGAAGTGGCGAGGACCCGAAGGTCAAGATCCGGCACGGCTTGCAGCGACCGTCGCCTCGAGAGGCGCTTCATCGCCTTTGAGATCCGACATGGCGAGGACCCGAAGGTCAAGATCCGGCACGGCTCGCGGCGACCGTCACCAACTTGTTGAGGTAAGTCATGCCGGATCATTGTCGCTGGTTCCTCTTTTTGTTGCCTTCTTTAGTTTGGCTCTGAGTGACTTCGGTTCTTCTTGTTACTAATCCTTTGTTGTTTTCTTCTTTTCAGACGCAAGTCATGACGGAAGCGGATAGGAGCTTCGACCGTCGCTTCTGTCTTTATGACGGAAGCACTCAAGCATAACCAACGGGTGTCAAGAACGCCTCCAACGGGTTTCAAGAACGCCTCCAACGGGTTTCAAGAACGCCTCCAACGGGTTTCAAGAACGCCTCCAACGGTTCGCCACCGTCGCCAGTGGCGGATTTGTGGACTGGGTTGAGGTAAGTAAACAGAGTTGGACTTTAGTTTAACTTGTTTTTTCTTTTTCTTTTTTTGAGTAGTACTGAAGTATTGCCTTTTTTTCTTTTTTTCTTTTTTCAGACCTGAGCCAAGCTCGACGCGGACGGTGTTTCAAGCTCGAGATTCTACATAAGTCGACCTGAAGCCGATCTCACCCCGCCGCGAGAGGCGAATCATCGCCGTTTGAGAGGCACTCATGCATGAAAGTGGCGAGGACTCGAAAGGTCGTCACGGATCCGGATCACGGTCGTCACGGAAGGAAGTCAGGATCCGGCACGGCTCGCGGCGACCGTCGCTGATCGTGTTGGGGTAAGTGTATCATTGTCCTTAGTTTTGTTGCCTTCCTTAGTTTGGCTCTGATCGCTGATCTTTTCTTGCCTTCAGCACTTAGGTACTTTGGTTCTTTTTACTAATCCTTTGTTGCTTTCTCTTTTTCAGACATAAGTCATGCCGGAAGCGGATAGGAGCTTCGACCTCCGGACGGGTCGCACTCAAGCATACCGGAAGAACGCCTCCCGCCTTTGGCGCTTTGAGGACCGTCACCAACTGTTGTCATGACCGTCACCAACTGTTCGCCAACCGTCGACTTGGGGTACGTAAACCAGATGGACTTTGATCAAACGTCGTTTTTCTTTCTTTCTTTCTTCTTTGAGTAGTACCGTCAGATGTGTTGCCTTTTTCCTTTTCAGGCCGTCATTGACGACATCATTGGCGACATCATTGGCGACCTCATTGACGACCGTCTCACAAGATCGCGAGAGGAGCTGCATTGCGAGAGGCTACGCCGAGAGGAGCTGCATTCAAGCATTCAAGGTCGCCTCGCCGACCGTCGCCAATGACGGACTTGTCGCCAATGGTTGGGGTACGTAGATAACTTAAAAATTTTTGCTTCAAGCAACTTCGGTTTTCCTGTTTTACAAGTACTAATATGCTGCCATCTTCTTTTTTCAGATCTCGGCGGCCTTCTTGGCGACAGTCATGGCGACCGTCTTGCCGACCGTCATGACTCCGTCAATGACGCAGTCATGATCGTCGCCACGCTCGCCGTCGCAGTCACGACCGCCGTCGCCGTCGCCGTTGCTCCTGACGCTCACCGTTGACTCGAAAGCTCCTACACAGTCAATGGCGCACTCACGATTGCCGTCGCCGTCACGCTCGCCGTCGCCGTTGCTCCTGACGACGAAGCTGGCCGCAGTCATGGCGACCGTCGCCAATGACGGGCTTGTCGCCAATGGTTGGGGTACGTAGATCACTTCCAAGTGTTGCTTCTAGTAACTTCGGTTTCTTTTTAACAAGTACTAATATGCTGCCTGATGTAGAGGCGTGTCCTCTAGTTGGCAGGAACTAGGAATTGTTCTAAGCAGTAGAGCACACTCTTGGCTTTCCAAGGAGCCGTAGAACACGTAATTCGTCCAAGTATCGGCTGAGATACGGCTTTCAACGTGCTAGGTAGTGCTTGCGAGCCATTTTTCCTTCGACACACGCCGCGCACACGCCCTTTTCGTCGTCGCCGGCGATCACGTAAAGTCCCTTCGCAAGTCCTTTGTTGGCCAACTCCTTGACCGAGTCGTAATTGGCGTGCGCAAGTCGATCATGCCACGCCTTAAGAGTTGCCTTGGAGCCTTGCGCCACGTTCGATGAAGCCACTCTTGGGTACGTCTTGAGTTGGTAGATATCTCCATTGAGAACCCCTTGCGCGAATTGCTCCCCCTTCCAAAAGAGGTTCATCTTCGCACCGTCGATGGTGGCGATCACGCCCTTCTTCGCCAGTTGCGGGACGGATAGAAGGTTCACCTTCACCCCCGGGACGTGAAGCACGTTCGTGACGTCCACCGGTCCGCTATCGACGATGAGGCGCGTACTCCCAACTCCAACCACCGGTAGAGATTCGTTGTTTCCGAACACGATGCTCGTGACGTGTCCCGGAGCGCCAATGTTGTTGAGGAGCGACGCCGAGTGCGTCATGTGTTGCGTTGCGCCGGTATCGAGGAACCACGCGTCGCTTGGAGTTTTGTTCCCGTTGCCGGCCACTAACACGAGCGACTCCTTTGAATCATCGGCCTCGCCGGATGCCGTGTGCGCGTTGCCCTCTTCGTCCCGCGCCTTCGATGGAGTCCAATCGCTCGGGCGCTTCCGACACTCACGCCAAAAGTGTCCCGGTTTGCGGCAATAGTGACACTTGCCGCGATGCTCGCTCCCACCCGACGATTCATTCGTCGCACCCTTGCTCCACTTGGACTTCTTTCCGGAACTCCCTCCGGAGTACATGGCGGTCCCCTCGCTCTCATTCGCGAATTGTCGGCGACGTGATTCCTCATGGAGAAGCCGACCGACCACCATTTCCTTCGTCCAAGTGCCTTGCACGCTATCGAGTGTCGTAATCACCGTCGACCACTCTTCCGGAAGGCCGCAAAGCAAGGTGAGAATCCAATCCTCCTCCGTGACCGTTCCACCGAGGTCCATGAACGATTCCCCGAGTTCCTCCACACGAGTCGCATACTCGTGCATCGATTCGCCCGCGCGCATCTTCACCGTGTAGAACGCATTCCGGGCTAGGATCTTGCCGTGGAGAGTCTTGTTCACGTGGATGGTCTCGAGCCGCTTCCACGCTTCATGCGCCGACGCTTCGAGCTTGATGCACATGCGCACCGAGCTCACGAGATTGATGCCGATGCGCGAAATCAACGTAGCGAACGCCTTTTGGTCCTTCTTCTTCCATGCCGCGATGTCGCTCTCGTCGTCCGGCTTCTTCTCCGTTCCATCGAAGAATCCCCAAAGTCCCCGCTCCATCATGAGCACTTGGAACTTAAACTTCCACGCGGAGTAATTTTGTCCCGTGAAAATCGGTACCGCCGACGTGTCGAACATCGTCGCGGTTGCCCAGG